GGATCATGCGACTTGATGAATAATAATATAGGGGCCTCAATAATTACCTATACTATTTTGGGGGCTCCTTATTATAATTCTGGAATTGTATACCCCAAAACCCTATTCTAATTATTAAGGCCCCTATATTAACTAGGAAGCTCATCCAGTTAATCCAGGGCTTTTTTCGGGTTTAGGGTTTAGGGGCTTAGGGCGTCAATATCGGGCTAGCGGACGATTCGAAATCGCGAGGAGGGCAGTCGCAAGGTGTTCGAATGCCAGACCTCGTCTGATCCCAGCAGTTGTGCATCTAGCAACATCTAGCCACCGTCAAGTTTAGGACACACAGATGAACAGCGATGTGCTTACAAGCTGCTGGGTTCGATGCTGGTACAAGGCTTGGCTTGGGGCGTACTTTAGCAAGGCCGTTCTTCGGATGGTGAGGGAACAACAACATCTACGAGTTGCAAACATGATCCAAGGTGGGTGCCTTCATCGTCGTGCTTAATCACCGAGTTCCCTACGTACAGGTGCAAACGAGACACACCACATCAAATGTCCGTAATTTGTTTCTGCCAATCGCTTGCTACACATAATTATGTGTTTTTCGCCACTTGCCGTATCTGGTCCGGAACAAGGATTCCGTGGTGTCCACCTGACGCCTCCTCTTGAACTCTCTCAGATGGGCCGCCACCTGAAGCACCGAAGTAGCGCGCGATAGCTCGGCTTAAATGTGTCGCCAGCACACTGAACTCAACACTCTGGCAACAAAAACTGCTCCAGAAGCCGTTGGAAGTGCGCCGTCTGAGCAGTCGGGCTCTCATCATCAATGTGTGACGCGGAGCTTTCATGGCTGCTCATCAGAGCTAGAGTCACGAATTGGCGACCGCGGCATGCGCTTCAGGGTTGTACATTTTGCATGACAGCAGTCGGCTGTCGAAGGGACCCCCCAATTTCCCAAGGCTCCCCGTATGCCATTCGACGGGTCCAGTGGCTTTCGCGGTAAGCACGACCACCAAGCAACCTAATACTTGGAATGGTTTCTAAACTCTCACAACAACTTAAGGTAGGCCCAAAGGACTATCCGTTATGATCATTCAGACTCACGACATCTGATAAAGCACCATGAAGCCCCACGGATTAAGATTACCGCCCCTACGACCGACACATTCTAAACCTACTAAACCCCAAACCCACCCCAAACCCTAAACCCTAAACCCTAAACATTTTTACCTGCCCTGGCACCTAACCCCTAACCCCTAAACCCCTGAGTCATCTTTGCCCATAAACCCTAACTACACCCCTACACTAAACTTAGGGCCTAAACCCTAGGTTTTTTTGAGGAGGAGCTGCAGTGCCCTCAAAAGCCTAAACCTTAAAGCCCTAAGCCCCAAACCCCTAAACCGACAAGCCCTAAAGCCCAAAACACAAAAAGCCCTAAACCCTAAACCCACAAGCCCTAAAGGCCGAAACCACAAAAAAACCCTAAACCCCACACCACTAAACCCTAAAGCCCAAGCCCTGAAAAGATGAGTTCCAGACTCGGGCTGCTCCCGGTCCTCTCGGATCGCCAGAGAAGGGAAGAGAGGAGAAGAGAAGAGAAGAGAAGAGAAGAGAAGAGAAGAGAAGAGAAGAGAAGAGAAGAGAAGAAAAGAGAAGAGAAGAGAAGAGACGGTTAAAGGTCTAGGGTTGAGTGTTTTTTGCCTCCTACTTAGCAAGGACAAGCCCGCATTGCAGGGTTGAGTGTTTGGGGTTTAGGGTTTAGGGTTTCCTCTCTGAAGAGAAGAAGAGAAGAGAAGAGCCGGTTTTATCCCTCTCGCATGGCAGAGAACAAAGCTCACAGGCGAGGTTAGCACAGGATCATGATATGTCGATTGCACCTAATTGAAAAAGAGCTGCGCTCACTAAGAAACGGTTTAGGGTTTAGGGTTGAGGAGAAGAGAAGAGAGAGCGAGAGAGAGAGCGTGTGTGTGTGTGTGTGTGTGTCAGTGTCTTGAGGGCTTTAGGGTTTGTGGCCAAAGGAATCCAAGAAGGTGGGAGTGTAAGTTCATGCACGCCTGCCTGCCACTGTTCAAAAGAAGATGCATGCATAAAAGCATCACCATTTCGTTACGCACCGGGACCGTGTCCTTCCGGATGTTTTCCAGAAGTAAGTTCATCGAAAACCTGCTCAATCCTGAAAGGTGACATGCATAGCATGGCATAGCCTGACATCAAGTCCAAGCATCTTCAATGTTCGGTCCCGCCGCTGTCAACTGCATTCCTTTTCCTAAAGGGCCTAAAGCATGCAATTAAGACGTTCAGACGTGGCAATGGTGACGTAGTGTGTCTAGTACAGCAGGGCTTTTGAGAGGCCTTCTCAAGCGTTCACGATTTGACGAGCTTGCTGGACATGTGAATTCAGAACAAAACGGCGCATATCTATACCCATAGTCTCCATTGTAGTTCCTTTTGGGGTTTAACTATATATATATATATATATAGATTAAGGATTTTATTATAAGGTATCCAACTACAATGGAGACTGTAGGTTTCTGTATGACGGACGTTGTTGCGGAGCGCCTTTGACCGGAAGCCGTTCTCTTGCGATTGACGCCGTAGGGAGAGCCACCCTGAGCACCAGATGCTGTTCAGCTGGCAAGTTCACGGAACTTGGAATATGGCCATGCGCATCTGTATACATATATATTTATACACACACATGACGCCATAGTACTGGATTTAGTGGTATAGAGACCGCATGCACCAACGCATGGAGACATGTGTGTGAATGGAGTGCGGGCGATAGAGATACAAAGCTGCTTAGCAGAAGGAGCTCGAATTCAACACCCCGCAAAACCTGTTTGACGGCTCATGGGTACTGTGACCGCTTGATACTCCAGCGACCCTTGCCTTGTCTGTAACCCTGATAATGATAGCCTCCTCACCATGTAGAACATGTCGCGGGTAACCATAAAGTTGCAGAGGGACTTTAAGGGGATACTGTTGCTGCACCAACTCTTCAGACCTCGACATTGCTTGCATCCACGGAGGAAGCTTCGAGCAGACCCCAGCAGAATCGGAATCAGGGGCCGGCTCTCCGAGTAGCTCTTGGAGTAGGCTAATCGGTTGAGGAAGTCCTGTGCCCAAGATAACACCCTCACCCGAAAACCTCCTTCAATCCTGAAGGTTTAGGCTTTAGGGTTTAGGGTCCCTAAACCCGAACACTTAATCCGAGTTTCAGAGATTGGCATGTAGATTGTGGTTGAAGCACCTTTTCTTCCCTGTTCATCATTTTCGTTCCGGGAACGATGGTGCTTCTCTCAAGTGGGGCCTGTTGAGTTTCCACGAAGAGCGATCGAGGGGCCCCAATCATCTATGATAAGGGGACTGCTGCTAAGTGATTTTTGCCTCCTCCCTGGCTAGGACTAGGACGAACATACGGTGCGGGGTACAATGCTGGCAAAACACTATACATTACGACGTCCCGTCACTCTGGCAGAGGAAACGGCGCGATCACTAAGTGATAAGACCCTGGGATAATATAAGGGCCTTAATAATTACAACAGGGTTTGGGGGTATATTATACGATAAATACAATAAGGAACCCCCAAAACCCTATTCAACCCTAAACCCTAAACCCAACAATAAGGAACCCCCACAACCCTATTCTAAGTATTAAGGCCCCTAAACCCTAAACCTTTATAGTAGCCCGTAGAGAACCCTTAAAGGAACCCTTTAAAGGAAACCCCGCAAAACCCTAAACCTTAAACCCTAAAAGGCGCCTACATTACGCCATCTTCATAGCAAGGACGCTCAAAGGTAGGTCGAGAGGAGAGGTAGGCTTGCAGGTAGGGCGTCCGGTCTAAGAGAGGGTTTAGGGTTGAGGGTTTAGGGCTTTAGGGGTTTAGGGTTTAGAGTTTTTTTTTTAAAGTGTGTTGACATGCCCTTTCCGACCGCCTGCTAACGTAAGCACACACTGTGAAACGTGAACTGTACAGAATAGCATTCTTCTGGACTTTTGAAACGAAGATGTACATGTCTTTACTGCCAGACACAAAGAAAACGACCATTACTGGGCCACACATCACCATAGGGGAGAATTCCCGGTATTCATTCATCAGAGTCGGGTTTAGAGGTTTAGGGTTTAGGGGTTTAGGGTTTAGGGTTCAGGGTTTAGGGCTGAGGGTTTAGGGTTTAGAGGTTTAGGGTTTAGGGTTTAGATTTCAGGGAGCTGAGTTAGGGTTTAGGGTTTACGAAAGGGGTGTAGAGCATGTAGATTCCAGGAGATGGGTTTAGGGAAATAGGGTTTAGGGTTTAGGAAAAGGGAATAGAGCATGTAGTTTAGGGAGCTGAGTTAGGGTTTAGGGTTTAGGAAACGGGTGTAGAGCATGTAGATTTTAGGGCGATGAGTTTAGCGAAATGGGGTTTAGGGTATAGGAAAAAGGGAGTAGAGCTTGTCTGGGGTTGGCTTTTGGGAGTATACGGCCCCAAAATTTTAATTCGGCTCCTCCTTCGTCTCGTCGTTGGGAGGCCGGTAGTGGTCCTCTGTTCTGAAACAAGAACCCTTCATGTTAACTAAACCGACGTCCCGAAATGCTGGACCTCTACAAGAGATCTATTGGCACTTTTTGTCTCCGGGACTGCGTGAGATAGCAGGACACAGGCCACAGCGCTGTGTTGCTCGGCGCCCTAAGCCTCAAACCCCGCCCCAGTTCCAAACTTGAGCAAGGTGCCGCGAGCAACAAAGGCAACAAAGCCGACAGAACGCAAGGAACACTGACAACGTCTGGAGTCTACAAGAGCAACGAAAACACCTGTGATGCCCAGGGCCCGTCCATACCGATATCGGGCTGGAACGTGACGCCAGGAGGCAGGGCCTGCAAGCTGGTAGGGAGGAAGACACAGCTAGCAGCAATGCGGTCAAACATCTTCACAACCTCACAAATTCTATCCACACGTGTGTATGTATATATGTAGATAGAAATATTTATATGTAACGTCTCGTTGGGCGCACATCCAATACATATGTATATATATATATAGAGAGAGAGAGATAACATGCGTTTTCAATATGTGTCTGCTTTTGTGTCTCGTTGTGTATGTGCACACACATTTACAGTTCCGTACTCTCATGACGCATCTTCTGTGAAAAAACACTTGCTTCCGCATGCGAGGATACAATGCATCTTCAGGTTTGCGCCGGCTGAACCATAGATGCTGGCACAGTTAAGCAAGACTCAAACCCAAAATTACCACACTAGTTCGTGCAAAAAGATGCTCCTCAACTCCCTCTGCAGAGCTATTGGCATGCTTCCATAAACGAACTAACTAAATACCGCCAGACTCGAGCCTTGTGCGCCTATTTGCATACAAGCACATTGTGTACACGCAGGTGGTTGTATGCATGTACAAGAGAACGGCTCTGTGCATGTATATGTGTATTTATGTAAGTATGCATGCATGCATACATGGACGGCTGTATGTATGTATGTATGTATGTATGTATGTATGTATGTATAACATGTATGTGTGTATATATATATATATGTGTGTGAGAGAGAGAGTGTGTGTGTATGCATATGTACATATAACCATAGACATATACATATACATTGCATAGTCTGTTGATTTATGCATCAATGAAATTCCGAGCCGAGCACTGCTGCAGCCTTCCTGTACTCACCTATCCGTGTATATGTTTGCATGCACTCTTTCCTTTACACCGGCCGCATACCTCTCTCGGCACATATTGATCCGACACCGAGTCTGCCTTCTGCCTCTCTCTCGGTGGACGCAAGCTGCCAAAAGCAAGACGAAGTGCGAGCCCAAGGTACCCAAAACTCGGAGAATGCAGGGGCCTTAATAATTAGAATAGGATTTTGGGGGCTCCTGTTTATAATTATAGTAGAATATTACCCCCAAAACCCTATTCTAATAATTATTCAGGCCCCTAAACCCGACACCCTTATAGTAGCCCTTATAGAACCCTTTTAAGGGACCCTTTAAAGGAACCCCCAAAGCCCTATTCTAACTATTAAGGCCCCTATATCACCCCCCGAACCCCAACGCCTAAACCCTAAACCCTAAACCTCACCCCTCGTAGGCCCAGGCCCTTAAGGACTCCAGCTGCCGCTCGCGTCGTCGAATGGCATCCTCGTAAAGGGAGTCGTACCTCTCAGACGGTTTAGGGTTTAGGGTTTCGGGTCCATCCTCAGGACATTTTAGGGTCCTTACAGGGATCTATAAGGGACTATTCGGATCCCTTTTAGGGTCCTGTTTTTTTCCATAAGGGTGCCCTACTATATTGGGGACCTAAAAAGGGACCCTAGTTTAGAGAACTACTTATATGCCTGAAGACTGCACTCTCAACCTCGTACATTGTAGCCCAGTTTCCCAAATACTCATATAAAAGCCGAAGAAACCGTCGTATAGGCCACATTATATGCTTCTAGCGTCCTTGTGCCACTGCAGCGGCGAGTATGACGCCACATATCGTGCAACATCAGCAACAAAGTGACCAAAGAGCAAAGAAAAGAAGCACCGAAAAGCCTTGGTCGTCCAGGGATGTAGGATTTCGACTTTCGAGTTCTACAAACGCACACGCTGCACCTGCAAGCCGGAAACCTCCAAGATTCATATCATTTGGGGGCCTCGTGCTTTATAATAAGTCTTAACTGAATGACAGCACCACCTCGCCTCTCACGCCCTGCTGCTGCTACTGAAACCTTGACCACCACACCTCGAAACCGAAATCGCTGAAATTCCAACTACTGCAAACCCTAAACCCCTTAGCCCAAAACTGGAACTCCTTCCATCTCCTTTTGAGTAGAGGCTGCGCTGCACATGCTCCTTAGCCTTATACCCGCCTCACCTCGAAGTTTCAGCCGCTGCTTTAATTAATCCCCAAACCCTCTCTATCTCTCTATCTCTATATCTCTCTCTCTCTCTCTCTCTCTTGCGGACTCCAAACCCTAAACCCGTAAACCCCTAAACCCTAGTCCCTTTCTTTTTCAAGGGACTCGACTGCTGCCCTTACTGCCCAGCTTGACCCACAAGACAGTACTCATGACTGTGATGCGAGACTGGCCACTTCGCTGCTCCAAGCCCAAACCCTTAATCCCTAAACCCAAAGTCCCTAAACCCTAAACCCTAAACCTCAAGTGCCCCAGTCGCTAGGGCACAGGGTCCCTGTGATCTTCAGCCGCGCCAGACGCTGGCTGATCAGCTCTTCGGACTTTTGGTCGATCTCCGGCTTGAAGGTGCAGCCTATGAACAGGGTTTAGTAGGGTTCAGATCGGGGGCTTAGTCTAGGGTTTAGGGTTCAGGGCTTAGGGTTTGGGGCTTAGGGAGTTTAGGTTGTAGGGCTTATAGGGCTTAGTAGGTTCATAGGGCTGTTTAAAGGTTACATATCAATAACTCTTCAATTAGGCCCTAATTCTAGAGATTCTAGAGTTTTGGACGGTTTATTTTGCAGAGTTACACAACTCCATAACTCTACAGCGACTGGTTCTCCAAGGGTTTGAAAAAACTAGGTTTGGGTTTAGGGTTTAGGGTTTATAAAAGCCTAAGCCCTAAAACTCCAAGCCCGTTTTTTGATATACAAGGGCCTGGAAGCTCCCAAGACGGATCTTCGAAGTTTCTATACCGGCGTAGCTCTCTAAATTAGCGTCCCTTTTAGGAGGGTGTTGTACTATGTCGGGGACCTAAAAAGTTTTAGAGGACTACCCTAAGGGGGTTTCGGCACACTTCTCGATTTGTGCGTGGGTTTGGGGGTTTTGGGTTTAAGGCTTCGAATATTCAGTAGTGGCATCATCGTCGTCTCTGGTATCCTTCGCTTTATGAAGTAGGGTTTACGATTCCCCATCTCATAGTTCGTCCAAACAAATAAAGTCTGACAGCTTTGGTTCAGCAGCTAGGTCTGCTGCAAGACTTAGCCGCTCCGGGACACTGAATCTTTTCAGAACCAGAAAGCCGGAATGTAGACCCAGACGCCCGCTTACACTGATTTTTAAAACCCTCACCTTAAACCCTAAACCCTAGAGGCCAAAGGCCCAAGCCCTAGGGGCCTAAACCCCTAAACTAAACCCTACGAGATGCAAGATGGGGCCCGGGCCATCAAGCTCCGCCTTCTCTTGCATGTTGCGCAACCTCTGCATCTTCATCCTGCGGTAAAGGGTTTTTTTTATAGTTTAGGGTTTAGGGTTTATTCAGGGTTTAGGGTTTGGGGGTTTAACCTACCACAACCCACTTTTTGTAGGTTCTTATTCTAAACCCTGATATGGATTTATCGGGACCCTACAAAAAAGTAGGTTCTGGTAGGTTATAATACCACAACCCACTTTTTGTAGGTTCTTATTCTAAACCCTGATATGGATTTATCGGGACCCTACAAAAAAGTAGGTTCTGGTAGGTTAAGGTAGGACTTTAGGAGGGTTGCGGAGATGTCGGGCATCTTTGTGACCCTTGCCCTAAACCTCTCAAACGTGAATAGGGCGGGAGTAGTGTGGAGGCGAAGGGCAAGGTCTTGGTCTACAAGAACTGCTTTAGGAATCAAAAGATGCTGAACGGGCCAAGGGTGTAGGCTTCCAAATATTTCAGCGGCTGTCAACGAGCACAAATTCGGAATGGTGAACTGGCCTGGGGGGGGGCCTTCGGACACATCATATGAACTACACCACATGCTGCTAGGCTAACAGATCAACCTTTAGTCGTGTGAAAACTGCTAAAACTGCGACTGCTAATACTAGAGGTGCCCAACGTGCACAGAATGTAACTCGGCCTGACATGGTCGAACTTTTTGGTATTGTTCTGACGCACTGCAGGCACTGCCCCAAACATATCTCGCATTTTTCAAACAAGGCTCCATCTTAGGGAAACTCTATTGTCATTCAATGCTAGGAAGCTCAATCCCAGATCATCCAGCAATGTGTCTCAACTACGCAAGCGGTCGCAAACAAAACATCATATTGAAGTCGGAATAGCTGGTACAAGTATCCCTTTTGGTCCTTGTATAAGTAGTTCAACTTTAGCATCATATACCCCCCAAATCATATACCCCCCAAACCCCTTTTCGAATGCTTCAGGCCGCCATACCTAGACCCCCCAACTACCCTCTATTATCCCTTAAATACCCACTTGTAAGGACCATAAGGGCTCCGTTAAAAGGCCACTGGGGGGTCCTGGTATTGACCATCCTCTGAGGATGCAAGTATACCCCCCAAACCCTAAACCCTAAACTCCTACTCCCCCGAACCCTGTTCTACTGATTCAGGCCCCCATCTTGACCATCCTCTGAATGCTAAGCATGGGAACCTCACACTCGTGAGCCAGGAGGCTCAAGACTCGAAGTCCAATTCAGGGGCCTTCAAAGGGTTCAGGGGTTTAGGGGTTTCGGGTTTAGGGTTTGGGGTTTGGGGTTTCGACTCACACACTCGCAAATGCAGGCATGGCAATAATTGTCCGAGGGTTTGGGGTTTAGGATTTAGAGATTAGGATTTGGAGTAAGGTTATGGTGTCTCCAAACTACACTTTAACTCTTCAAGGGGCCCCAGGAAGACTAGTGCTGCCTCGCGCGAACCCCCCCATACCAGGAGTTTGGCTTGATTCAGCGCAGCGCGGCTCCTCTTCTTCAGGCCCTCTGGGTCTTGAAGAGACCTGCGGGTTTAGGGTTTAGGGCTTAGGGTTTAGGGTTTAGGGCTTAGGGTTTAGGGTTTAAAGTTTAGGGTTTAGGGCTTAGGGTTTAGCGTTTAGGGCAAACCCCCAAAAGTTGGAAACCGAGTTATGGACAAATGGTGCTGGGATTCCCTGTACATTGCTCTTAAGGATTGAGGCTGTTGGGTTTCCAACTTTTGGGCTTCTACTATAGACTCTCGCAACTCGGGCAATGCAGGCGCGGATGGTCCATGGTTCCGGCAGTTTAGGGTTTAGGGCACCGTCCATCGAGTGTGCACACTGTCCGCATGCCTAAACTGCAACCCTAAACCCTGAACCCTAAATTTAGCATCTGGTACGTCGGAGACTCAGCAAACAGGAGTCGCCCCAACAAAAGCAAATGGGAACCCCTGAATACGGCATCCCAACTGTTGACGATATAAATCCTGCATCAGGACCCTAAACTATGGGAACTATGGCATATTCCTCATTATGGGTAATGCAGGACTAACAACACCAACCGTAGTTTCTAGGAAACCTTGTAACACCCCTATATAGAACAGTCTAAGAACCTCCGAAGAAGGAACCCGGTAAACAGCAGCTTTTAGACACTTCCCTCCCCTAAACCCTAAACACACCCAACTGCTGCGAGCCTGGATGTTCCTTGGCATCTGCGCTGTGAGACCTCTCGTGCTCATGTTCGGGGGGTTGCCTAGGGATTTAGTTTGGGGTGTAAAGAGTCCGTGTTAGGGCTTTAGGGAGTTTAATGGTTTTGGGGTTTCTGGGAGTTAGGGTTTAAGGGGTTGAGGTCTAGCCCCGGAACGACTAACGCTTGCCTACTCGACGACTATGACGAAGTGCAAAATGCATACTAGTAGGGCATCCTCGAAGATACCTCTGCCTGCAGAAGGTCATTCTTCGGGGACCCTAAACACGACGCTTATCTCGAACAAGTGTCATCCGCTCGCATATCTGCTGCCAAAGTTTGTGCTATCGAACCTGTCGTGCTCTGCAGGACACCTGGTAAATACCTAGTTGCATAGTCGGTTAAACAAAGGAATGAACCTAGAAACTTGCATGGATCTACACCCGAACCTAAACCCTAAACCCTAAACCCTTTTGAGGATGGGCTTTGCCATTCGCTTCGACTCGTAGGGCTATTGGGGGGATGGCTGAGCAGAGGGTTTAGGGCGTTTAGGGTTTAGGGTATAGGGTTGCATGAGGAAAGGATTCCATGGTATTTACTGAAGTTGCGCCCCGGGAGGCTAAGTATGCAGGTTTCAGAGTGCAGGGATCAGTGGGAATCATATAACCCTTTCTACCCTAGCCCTTGAACCCTAAACCACCTTTGACCCTACCTTAAACCCTAAACCTCCCTTTGAACCCCAGCCCCTCAACCCTAAACCCTTGAACCCTAAACCCCCTTGAAACCCTAGCCCTTCAACCCTAAAACCCCCTTTGAACCCTATAGCGCTTAAGCCCTAAGCCCCTTAACCCTAAACCCCCCTTGAAACCCTAGCCCTTCAACCCCAAACCCTCTTTGAACCCAACCTCTTAAACCCTGAACCTGCAAGTCTCCCGGTTGGGCCTCGATAGCAGGGCGGAACCTCATCTCGGACGCTTTTTTTGTCTTCGGCAGCTTCGGCAAGCGGGGCACGCGGGCATCTCTCCGTTCTTCTTATAGGAGTCTCAGAAAATAGGGTTTAGGGATTACGGTTTCGGCCAGTGGAGGCTTATTGTCATTCTTCTTATAGGAGTCTCAGGAAATAGGGGGGGCAGAGGTTCCCTGAAGAAAGGGCGGCCTCCATTTTCTACCCTCGGCCCGCCATTCTACGAACTTTGGGAGTGTTGCTCCCCTGTACAGCGAACCCAGAAAGTTGGAACTATTCGACTCTAAAGGTACCAAGGCAATGATGTTCCAACTTTCTGGCTTCTACTGTACCGTTTTTGGATCCTAAGCCCGAAACTTCATGCCCTGAGCCGGTTGCGTTTATAGTCATCTTAAGGATGGAGGATATTGGGTTTCCAACTTTTGGGCTTCTACTGATTCTACTGTAGTAGGGCCTATTTAGGCTGAGTGTTACTTGCTGTAGGTAGGATATCACGCCCTCCTACTCCCGCAGACTCTCGGGATACAACTTGCTGTAGGGCTTTGGGCATGACATAATAAGGGCTCAGAGCATAACCTACTAAACTCCAAACCCCAACACCCCATGTGCTAAAACCACAAAATGCACGCAACAGTCGCGCACCGGACATCTCACTTAGGGTTCAAGCATGACGCGAGATGCGTGAAGCGCAGCAACTCGAGACTTTTGGGATGTATATCAAGCGTTCAGGGTATAACCAGCCAATCAGGGACAACCCTGACCCAAATAAAGTCAACCTAGGCTTCTTGAACCTCCGTCTCGCGCTTTGAGGTCCCGGCGTGGCTTCTTGCTGCTCCTGCAACCTTCGTTCCTCCTCCACCATCTCCTTGTCATGGCTTTTGAGGAAAAGGATTATCAAGTTTTGCGGGGGTAGGGCTGCCAGGGTTGCTGACTATGCTTTTTAAGCCTCGGGTTTAGGTGTTAGGGTTGGTATCGCCTACCGGGTTGAGGTTTCAGAATTCACATCTAGGGTTTAGGGCAGGCCCAAAAGCATGAGGCTCCTGGACGATGCTAAGTAGGGCTACAACCAAGACTGAAGTCGGACTAACGTACTGGAAACATCATAGTTGTGCCTTGACGATTAGACTGGGGTGTTCAGGTATGATATACGTTACTATATTCTAGGCACTGAAAGGGGATACTAGCCTGCAAGCTCAGCGCTGGAGCCTTAGTGTCTGCCTTCAACGGATTGAACAGCATGGAAGCAGCTTTGGTTAAACAGGCAGCTTGCTCCGCTCTGGATTGGCCATGGATAATAGGCTTCGGATTCAAGTGCAAGACAAGTGTCAAACTACATTGCTTGCGTCAAAACAAAAGCTTCTCCAACTTTGCTCCCAAGGCATCCAGCTCAAAAACCAAACAACAACCCTCACTAGCAGATTTAGGTCTACGGCTCACGGGTTCAACCGAGGTGTTGCAGAATGTGCCTGGAGCTCCTGATCACAAAGCAATTCCTTTGCCCTATGAGGGTAGGACATCTGAACCGTCTTTGTCAGCAGCTCATATCAACTCCAATGTCCGTACAAGAGAATAATGTAGGGCCTCAACAATTAGAATAAGGTTTGGGGGCCCATTATACTATAACTATGATACGGAACCCCCAAAGTAGTATAGGTAATTATTGGGGCCCCTATATTACCCCATGAAGTCCAAACTCCAAGTTGAGGATTTGAGGGTTTAGGCGGCCCGCCCTCGCCCTGCCTCTGTCTCTGCCTCTCTCTCTCTCTCTCCCTCAGTGGGTCCGTCTGTCCCTGTTCCTGGATCTGGACAGTGAATATGTCCACATCTCCCTGCATGGGCCTGTGCAGCCAATAAACACGTGTCCAATAAGCACACTCCCACTCTCTCCACCTCTGTTTCTCCCTCTCTATCTCGTCTCGTTCGCTCTCCTCCCAGGACAAGCCCAAAAAGCGCCTGCAAATGACGCATCTTCAAGGCCCTTTTGGCGGCGTCATTGTGGAGCCTTGCAAGAGTATCCGTTCCCCTCGACTTACGATTCTGGCTAGGCTGGAGGCAGGAAGGCTCGTGGGTTCGAAGGCCTCGGGGTGTTCGAGCTTTTAACGTGTGCCGTTCCGGCACTAGGACACGTACAAATTCCTAAACCCTAAACCCTAACCCCTGAATCCTAAACCCTAAACTAAACCCTAAACTCAACCCTAAACTAAACCCTAAACCCAACCCTGAACCTTAAACCCTAGACCGTATAAACTAGTTTTGCTCTGGGAGCGCTGACGCAAGGCACGTTGGGAATCAGGCTGCGGCGGGGAGCCTGGACTGGAGGCCCGCTGCTTTAGGGATTACCTATAGTCTCCTGATTTAGGGTTTAGGGTTTAGGGTCTAGGGTTTAGGGTTTAGGGTTTACCTATAGTCTCCATTGTAGTTCCTTTTGGGGGATACCTTCTAAAATCCTTAATATATATATATACATATATATATATATATATATTTTTTCTTTTTTATGGTTAAACCAAAACAAAGCAACTACAATGGAGACTATAGGTAGGTTTTTTGTTGAAGGCTTTTTTTCCACAGTGCCGTGTCTGCGGGGAGCCCTTTGGGCAGGCTGGTTATGACAGCACCTTGACAACCGCCAAGGCCCGATTGACCCCAACCAGCACTCGAAGGGTTTAAGGTTTGGGGTTTAAGGTTTAGGGTTTAGGGTTTAGGGTTCAGGGACTTCTATTATAGTGTGGCAATGGCACCTGCCACGGTGCGGAAGATAGCGACAAGCAGGTGAAATATTCTGCAACTGCGCACAGTAACCAAATAAATGCTAAGCAAGCCCCCACCACAGCTACATGATTCTGGGAACAAGTGTACTATGTCGTTCGAAAGAAACATAGCCATCAACAGGCTAAATCCCTCGGCTCGTCCTGCACAGAACAACAATATGTCAATTGCAGCTGTGCTGCGTTAGCAGTTAACATAAACAGAAGGTAGCGGTACAACAGCAGCAACAGTACCTAGCAAACGCATCACCACTGCTCAATATCCAGATCGAGACTCGCAGGGCTATGACATGTGAGGATGGTTTTGAGGCAAGTAAAATAAGCCCCCTCTATCGCCACACCCCTAAACCCTAAAACTGTAAACCCTAAAACCCTAAAACCCGAAAACAGTAAACCCTAAAACCCTAAACCCTGAAACCCTAAACCCTAAAATTGTAAACCCTAAACCCCAAAACTCTAAACCCTAAAAACCCTAAAACCCTAAACCCTGAAACCCTGAAGCCCTAAACCCTAAAGCCCTGACTCTCCCAAGTCCCAATGCGCCTCTCTCCAAGGGCTGCAGTGTCCCCCCGCCGCTGCCAAGCAGCATAGCGGGTGGTGCCCGGCCTTACTTCGAGGGTCTTTGTCTGGTTTAGGGTTTAGGCTTCAGGGTTTATGATTTAGGGTTTTAGGGTTTACAGTTTAAGGGTTTAGGGTTCAGGGTTTAGGGAGCCTTACTTCGAGGGTAATATACGAACTCCTGAATCGAAAGCAAGGCGTTGAAACTTCGGGAAGGCGGTTTACAAAACAGTGCTCTACTTTAGGACCCCCAAAAAATCGAAAGCTCAGGGCAAACTTGGGTCTTTTCTGAGTGACTTATAGGATGTCCCAGCTTTAAAACAAGACGTTGATGCACGTCTTGGCCATAATGCATATATATATATATACATACATACATATCAGTTATGGTAGGTTAGGGTAGATTCTGGATCATGTCACCAGTTCAGGACTGCGATATCACTCCCGGGGCAGACGGCCCAAAAACTTTGCCAGCAGAGCCCGGCCCTTCAAGAACCCTGTATTCTCAACCTTTCGGGCCTGTACCTTCGGAGCTTCTGACACGTTAAAAACTTGATTTAATATATATATATATATATATATATTTCTATATTTATAAATACAGTTAAAACCATGGTCCGGGAAGTAGTCGAATGTCATGCAAAGGAAAAAGGAAAAGCAGCCTCTTCTAGTGTACCTGAGTCGTACTCAATGCTCAGGCATACAGCGATTGAAACTGCCGAGTCCCACCACATACGGTGCAAACACGCACTTTACGCTTTCTGGGTGACAGAAGAAACGCACACAAAATAAACCCTAAACCCTTTTTGCACAGGCTTGCGTGAATCTCGCCCCTAAACCCTAAACCCTAAAGCCTCCTCAGATCGCGGCGCTACTTGCGCGCTGGCCTGTGTCCTCTGCTCCTGGTCTCGCTCAACCTGCATGTCGACGACGCTCAAGTCCTACAAAACCTTCAGCCCTATGACACCGAACCATCCGAAACCCTGGAAAAAAACAACTAATCCAGAAAGGTTGCAGAATCAGGGACCTCAACCTTCATGAAGCACAAACTTGGGTTCCCTCTGGAGAATGCTTCTGATCCCGAGAACACGCTCCCAAACGGTCCCAAACGCCCTAGTTCCAAAACCTGAAACTTTGATGAACCCAGATGGATCTTCGAGTCAGTTTCGTGAAAGAGTCTGGGGCGGCTACCGGCTGCTGAAGCACTACTCCGTCCTTCTGAGGGGCGTGACTCATGCTTTGATATCCCAACAGCACCACAACATGTACGAAGGGTCCTTTTACTCATGTCAACCCCATTGTAGTAACTCAGTAGTTACCCTGCTTTAGTAAACCTAGTAGACTGTCTACCGCTATCCTTTGCAAACGAAGTTTCCTGGGTTGGCCTTTAAACCCTCTGAAAAATGGTTATATAAAGGGCCCCTTTTAAACCCAAATAAGGAACAAATCCTAAACCCTAAACCCTAAACCTTAAACCCTAAACCCAAAAAAAACAAACCTAGTTTCCCAAAAACAGACCCCGACTCCCCTTTGCAAGCATCGAGTCGGCTGAAGCCTCTGTGCACTTTAGGCAGCCACTTCTTCGTGAAAGGAAACTACAGGTGGGGAGTTTCGGGTATGTTTAGGGTTTAGGGGTGGGGAGTTTAGGATATATAGGGCTTCTATAAGGCTTCTATAAGGGTAGTTCTCTAAATTAGGGTCCCTTTTTAGGTCCCAAACATAGTACGGCACCCTTACTAACAAGGACCCTAAAAGGGACCCTAATTTAGAGAACTACCCAGAAGGTAGATAGACCTTCTGTAAGGCCCCTATAAGGGAAACTACCCACCTGAAAATGTCCGAGACTTCGGCAGGCGAACAAAGACAGGGGCCTTGATCTTGAACTACGGGGCTGGGGTCTGCCTTTGCATGATTAAACAGTACGGGAGGAGCCCTAAGGAAGAGCATAATCTAGAAACCTGAATAACTAGAATAGCCTTGTAGGTGCCACTATACTTTAATTATAATAAGGACCCCCCCCCCACCCAAAAAAAAAGAACAAATAGTATTGATGATTATTTAGGCTCCTAAAGTACTAACTACTCAGGCCCCTGTATCGACTGCAGGACCTGGTTCGCATGCTTTGAACCAAGGAAATTCCAGCATGGGGTTCTGCAACAGGGCCTCGCGCTTCGCAGCATGTTCAGCGAAATCTTTTGAGCGAAATCGGAATATCACACTATACCGGATGTGGGGAGATGTGTTGGTGCCCACCCGATGGCACAAATAGGGATGCGCCAGGACCACATCTCCGGGCGCGAGGCGCAGCTGCAATGGCAAGCCCGCGTCCGGCTTTGACGGCTTCGGTGATGTCGCGTTTGAGAGGTGCGCGAAGTACCAGCGGATGACATCGGAGTTCCGATGGGACCCAGGAAACACCGTGAAATTCCCAGAGTGCTCTTCAGTCTGGTCCGAAAGGGCGACCTTGCAAAGGACACTGAAGGGCAAAGGTGAGTCCTTGCCCATGCCGTCGATGTGAAATTGTTGTGTGCTGTCATCCCGCTCAACCACGCGCTTGGCTGCATCCGTGAGGCTTCCCCCACTCATCTCGAGCCGATCGACGACTGGGAAGCGCACAGCAAGATTTCCTGCACCAGGTGGGGCGGGAACACCGCCCAAAAGGCGCTCCACGGCAACACTAAGGCAAGTGCGAGTGACGAGAGCCTCGATGGATGGGTGGCTGCTGGTCGGCAGCTTCTTCTTCGATGCCTCCCCGGGTTCTGTCGGCGTATCGGTATCCACCATCCATGCTTCTGGGCCCTTGCCGAGCAAGTGGTTGATAGACCGCAGAGCAGCCTGGACACCTTCGCTTTCCACGGCGCCCTTCAGAATCACAAAGCCGTCCCTTGCAAAGGCGTCATACTGCTCTGTGCTGAACTCGAAATCCTCTGTCTGGTGCTTAGTAGGGAATGGGGGAATGGATCCCTGTGATAGTCCCTTAAGGTCCCTTATAGTAGTCCCTATAACCCATTCCCCCATTCCCTACTAAGCACCAGACAGTCCTGGAAAGGCCTTTTCAATCTGCTCACATGCGCCTGGAAGAGCCAACGGCTGGCTGGGTCTTGAACTGATGCTCCGGCTATGAAGCCGCCGGAGCTGGCAGCAAGAAAAGCCTGGGTTCTTCTTAAACGATCTGATCAGGGTTTAGGGTTTAGGGTTTAAGGGTTTAGGGTTTAGGTTCTAGGGTTTAGGTATTTAAGTGACCAGAAGAAAGAAACCATATCATCTACTATAGATCCTATATTTTGGTAACTTCAATGAAACCTATAGTCTCCATTGTAGTTCCTTTTTGGGGATACCTTATAAAAATCCTTAATGTATATTTGGCTAAACCAAAAAAGGAACTAAAATGGAGACTACATGGAGGATCATGGGACTTAGTAAGTAAGGTTATAAGTCCCTTAATTGGGGTTACAAAAAATATAAGTATAGCTACCTTAATTATACCCCTACTTACTAAGTCCCATGATCCTAAACCCTAAACCCTAAATCCTACACCCTAAACCCCAGACCGGGTTTAGGGTTTAGGGTTTACACCCTACACCCTAAACCCTATAAGCCCTAAACTCCTTAAGAAGAAACCCAGGAGCCGGCTTCTCGATGCCGTGGCCGACCGAGCGTAGCCTTACTTCCCCCAAGAAGCCAGGGAAACAAACGGTTAAACTTTCAGACTAGTACTAAAAAATAAAAGGTGAGTACTAAAATCTAAGGTTAGTACAAAAATATGAGGTTAGTACTAAAATATAAGGTTAGTACAAAAATATAGGATTAGTACGAAAATATAAGATTAGTACTATTTAAAGTATAAGAACCCCAAAAGTGTAAACGTTGGGTATTGGAGAGGTAAGTAGCGCGACCCCTGCAGCATCGCGTGCTGCTATAACGAAGGTGGCCCATTTCCCACGACCTCCTTTGAAATCGACCGAGCGGTTCGGTAGGATTCTGAGGCAGCTCTCAGGTTGCGGGCTCATGCCAAGTGCAGGGACTCCACCATCTACGACTTCGAAGCTGTAAGCTTCAAGATCAGGTTCCAGCTCCAGCTTCCTCAGCTGCTGCGCGGAGGCACGGTAGGCTCGGAAAATGTAAGGCTCCAGAGGTGTCAGCTTCGCTGAAGTAGAACTGACGAATCGTACCACCTGACCATCGTTCAGCTGTGTTAAAAATTGCTTCTCGTCGCACTCCGGGTCCATGGCTTCCTACGGTAAGAATCACAAAACAATCTGAACTTCTGTTACTGAGGCATCTGAGCAGTGCTGTGGCCTTCTGCGCAGGGGAATGACAGGAGCTTCCGCTTAGTAAATTCGGAAGAGATTTTGGAGTACATCATAACATAACTACATAGGGACTATCAAGCTATCATGTTACTGACCACTCAGACCTCCACCACATTATGCCATGGGTGATAGCCGGCTGCCCAACTCAAGCGCCAAATGCAAACATGCGGACCAAACCTGCAAAGAACCATGCAGACTTAAGTGCATCTGCATATGCTTTTGCACCTGCCCCAAACCCTTTTTGAACGAGGTCTCTCTGAAGTGCCTCCAAGTTGCCCCCCCCAAACCTAAAACCCTAAACCGTGGCCTTCAAATCGGCCCCTTCACTATCGCTGGCCAGTCTTTTCCGAAAGTTTTGGGGGAGTCCCCGCCGAAAAGGGGTCCTACCATTTCAGAAACTCCTTCGTTTGGGGCAACACACTTACCCCCCATAATGCCTAGCGGGCTAGCGTCCTATGCCTTTTGTTTGATGGGAGTTCTAGGGCTTCGGGCGTTTCAGGTTCGGGCTTATGGCATGGTTTATGGTTTAGGGTTTTTCCCTCGGGTTTAGGGTTTAGGTCCTAAAACCCCGCTTATAGCAGGCTTCTAGACTCGTAGGGTTTGAGTGTTGTCGATGACACTGAACCCTGCACCTTCACAAACACAGGCCTCCATGGTAGCACTTTCTGTAGGGCTTAGGGTTTTTTGGGCTCATGGGGTTAAGTGTGGGGTTAGGGCATTAGGAGTTTAGGTTTAGGTTCGCCCCTTTACCAACCCTCGACTTCTTGTGACGTAGGAGCTTTCGGTTTCAAGACCCTAAACCCCTAAACCCTAAACCCTAAACCCTAAACCCTTTTTTTGGCAGAATAGTCGAAGGCCGAGACTAGAGCTGAGGGCGTTCATTTGACTTCCTCCAGGGTTTAGGGTTTAGGGAGTCTTGCCTGATGGTTAAGGGTAAACCCTGCTTGAGACGCTGTGGGGAAGACGTAATAGTATGGCCGACACATGCTGCGTTTTGCACTACATATGGGGCGGTGCTTCATGACGGCAAGGCTTACCTGAATTCTAAACGCCTCGCATAAACCCCCTAAGCCCTACACCCCAAACCCGAAACCCTAAACCCTGGAGCCTCAACCCAAGGGTAGCTCAGGGTTTCGACTTGCCCGCGAACTCCTGAAACGGAAGCATGAATCGTTCATGCTCTTCCTTTGCGCTTCTTGTGATACTCCCGGAGAACCCAATACCCCTTAGTTAAGGAATATAGTTTTAAGTTATAGGCTATAACTATATTCCTTAATTAAGGGGTATTGGGTTCTCTGGGAGTTATAGGGCATGATTTAAGGCTTATTCTTTAGTAAAGGGGTATTGGGTTCTCTGGGCTCTACCCCCATTGATAAGAACGGAATATATTCACCCAGCCCCGGCAGAGCCTGCTGTTTGAGCCGGTAGAGGCGATACTTCTTTTGCACAGAGTCCTGCCCAGGACCCCCGGGACCCTGAAATCGGGAAAATCATCATTTAGGGTCTTCGGCGTCTCTGCCCACCCCTACTTATAAACTCCGGCTTATTGACCATTTCGGCTCTAACAAAAACCCACCTTGGGGGGTCTAAGCTTGCTTCAGGGTTGTGAGTTCCAAGCTAAGCTTCAGAGCCTGTGGTACCCGATATGCCGATACATCTGCTAAACCCTAAACCATCCTAAACCCTAAGGGTTCAGGTTTTAGGGTTTCTGCTCTTTTGCAAAATGAAACCTCGCTCCTAAATCCCACGGCCTTGCTTACCTCCGAGCTTTCGGACAACTCCCTGGACCATGATCGCTTAAGGCTTATGCGTTCTTCTGAAAGGAGTAGGGGGGGTGCATGGAGTTGTAAAGGCTGCATGTGGGTTGCACAATGCTTCGTCAGGGTTCCGAAGGGGATAACCCTAAACCCTCAACCCTGGATCTGCAGACGATGAACCTCAGAGCTACGGCGAAGACAACCCTTGCGCTTTTCAGTCAGTTTGTTCCAGCAGAGTCCGAGAGACTCAGCTGAGAAAGCGGTTTAGGGTTTAGGGTTGTTTAGGGGTTTACACTCTCACAACTCGGACAAGCCAGGCGAGGGTTTAGGGGATTAGGTTTTAGGATTTAGGGTGAGGCCGACTGTAGGAACAAATTGCGTGTTTTCAGCCCCATGACTCCAATGACCGGCTTCAACTCTCGCACTCGCACCACGCAGGCAAGGCTTCACAGCAACTGGTCCGAGCTGAAGTTGCATCTGGTGTAGCGACAGCAGAAACACGGGGCAAGTGGCATTTAGGACAGAAGAATGCTGCACCACATCGTCATGAGACAGCCGACGACTCATCACCTGAACGGAATGAGCGGCCGACAACCACCAACATGATTGGTTTAGGCTTGAGAGTTTCAGGTATTCGGGCTCTTGCAGCTCAGAATCTCGCAGGAAGGAAGTCGTATTTTCACGCCAAAGCTGCACTCTTCAACCGCAACACCGTGTCGGGTGCCACGGCAAAGGGTCTTGAACTGAAACTTTTCCAAGGTGTCGCAAAGACTCAGACTACACCTCCTCAAACCCATCACCCAGAAGTATCAGAACTTGTATTTCCACCATCTCTCAAGAAGCCTTCTATGCAGATTTGCAGAATGCAAAACTAAGAATCTTGCTCAAAGGCGGAAAAGCTCCAAGGCATGCCACAACCGTTGGGTCTGAGGCACACCTCCTGTCTCTCCGAAGAACCCCTCAGCAGAACTACCGTTCTCTTCCACCTGAATGCAGCAGAAGGCTTTTTTGGCACAGTTCGGAACAGCCTGAATCAGGCAATACGGAAGCTAGTGGCTCCTAGATTTCGCCTCAACTTTCGAGAGGCTTCCTGGCTGTCTAAGCCCATCAAGGCGGTGTTCAAAAGCCTACAAATGCAAGCAACCCTCATCTAGAACAAGCCCCAACGTCCCTAAATCCCAGCACCCTAAACCCATAAGCCACAGAACCTTATTGCGGAACCTTATAGCATCAGTAGTAACAACTATGGCAACCCTGAAGGAAACCCGTTGAAGCAACCCATAAACATCAATCGTGTCCTGGAAAAGCTGCAGGAAGCGAGGATTGCTACCATTGGCCGGCGCGCTGCCTCACATCACTTTGGGGTAAGGGTTTAGGGTTTAGGGTTTAGGGGGTTGAAGGTCTTTTTCTTTGTGCCAGGCTTAGGCTTGTTGGATTTCCTCCATGACACTTTTGGCGGTCTGAGGCGAGCTGCAGGGCCAGTATGCAATAAGGTCTACTTGAAGGTTCACAGGTATGTTTTTTTTGCATCCGGGCTTGTGAAGTCGGCCGGGGAAGGTTCACAGGTATTACAGCAGGGTTACAAGCAAGGTAATTGCAACTTCAGTCCTTCTTCCATATGGGGGTTTCCGACAATAGGGGACCCTAATATAGTACCCTAAATAGTAGGATCCTTATTATAAGGATTCCCAAAATGAGGTACCCCTTATTTGCGGGAACTCCCATATCCAGGGGTTCGAATCATCAGTCTACAGCGGCGCGTGGGGTGGTAGGTTGATCGGTTTAGGGTTTAGGGTTTAGGGTTTAGGGTTGATGTGTAGGCTCAGATTACCTATAAGCCCATAAGGGTAGTTCTCTAAATCAGGGTTCCCGTTCGGGTCCCCAATATAGTACGGCACCCTTGTAAAAAAAACATCCGAAAAGTGACGCTAATTTAGCAAACTACCCATAATATAGGGGCCTTAATAACTATAGAATAGGGTTTCGGGGTATTATTAGACTATAATTCTAGTTAATTTAACACCAAAATAGTATAAGTAATTATCAAGGCCCCTATATTATGAAGGGCATGGCTGACGGCGAGGCTCTGACCCTTCTAAAACGGGAATTTGCATTGTGCGCCCGTGACCACAAACTTTTAGGGTTAGGGTTTAGGGTTTAGGGTTTAGGGTTTAGGGTTTAGGGTTGAGGGTTTAGGGTTTTTCAAACACCTGACCCAAGCTCGGTTCATCCCCCCCCGCCAGACCCCAAAAGGCATCAACACCGACAGTACATCAGCCCAAGTCAGAAACCCTAAACCATCCAATTTAACTCAAACTCAGGACAAGAACAACAAAGATAAGATAATCATACCTCTGTCGTATATGTCAGCATGACACCATCTACCCCTTGGTCGCACAGTGAGACTAAAAGATGATCCTCCATCCGAGGCGCCTTCGTGTGGTGTGCGGTCTCTGTCTCGCGGGGTGCCGTTGATGAGCACCCGAGGGGTGCCTGCTCTAGCGGTTTCTCCGCCGGTCAGTGATAGGGCTTAGGGTTTAAATAGGGTCTAGGATTTGGGATCACATGCTGTGGGTCTCAAGGTCAGAACGCAGAACAGCAGCACAAAGAACAACCATGGCAAGAACCGCGATGAGTCTGACAATGTCAAGATTCTGCCATCAGATCAGCAGACAAAAACCCAAACCCTATACCCATTTTACCGCTGGGCTCAAGCCCCCTCCATCCTTCCTAAACCCTAAACCCTTTTTTTTTGAACCCGGAGCTCTCTCCAGTCAGCCCTACAAACTAAACCCTATACCCTAAGCCCTTTTGCAGCAGCGGGTTTGCCTCGTCGCCCTGAAGCTCCCCAAGCCCTAAACTTTTAGGGTTTCCCCAGACCTGAGCGTAGTATGTGAGTTCCGAAGCGATCCGCAACCAGTGACCATCCAGGAGCCAGCACGGCCGGATGCTACACTAACTTATACAGGTCCCCATATCAATAACAAGAATAATAGTTGTAATGATCCTTGACAATACCGGTAGGAACCATAATAATCATCATAATCATAGTAATGATGTTAGTCATGATAGTAAAAGTTATCCTCATCCTCATAATCGAAATCAAAGCAAAATTTGCAGATTACGAACTGTGATAACGTACAAGGACTTACTCTATGCTCAGATCCCCATATTGCCCCATCTCGTTCTGAAACTGTCTTCAAACTGGAGGGCCAGTCGGAAGGTTTCGGGCGTAGGGTTTCGGATGATCCGCCTCTTCGTATAACCCCCGAAACATGATTCGGTGACCACGGCAATGATCCCCCGTGATGAGGATGATGATAGTGGCTCACTGATGTTTCTGTCCATGATGGATCATAAATTATTATGCTGGCGATTCAGGTTATAACAAGTCAGAAAAGCATGACGAGAACTGCGATGATGCTAGTGCTACGAAGGAGGACCTGTAAAAACGACGGCCTGAAACCCCGAGATCGCCACGTCGCCTTTGAAACCTACGGAAGCCATCGCTGAAGGACTATGGGTGAAACATCTTCTCTTAAGACATCGAGGGCCCCCAAGGGTCTCTAGCCATGTCGTCTGCGACCAAGTCGAGCCATGCAAAAAGCGGCTCGTCAATGCGCTCAACTTCGGATCTGTTGGACACTGCAAAGAAGGGCCATCCCTTCTCCGTTGCGATTTGTCCGGCTTCCTCTTCCTTACTTCCCAAGAAGCCAGGGAGATGAAAGGTTATACGTTCAGATTAATACTAAATGATAAGAACCCCAAAAGTTTGAAGGTTGGGCATTGGAGAACTAAGCTTCTGTCACTGCAGGATCTGGCACATCTGCATGTGTGGCCACTAAGCAAATACACCGGCAGCACTGCTCCTGCTTGGCCACTATATCATCCAACATCTGTATAACTTCTGTCATGGTGTCCTGGGTTCTAAGGAGTTTAAATGAAGTTACCAGAATATCCATAACATAAGGAAGCCCTAGTATTCACTATAGATCCCCACTATGCAAGCTTAAATCCACCCAGGATCTCGCTTCGCCAGGGAGAAGAACCCCAGGATTCCAGAGGCTCCTTTCAAGCACACCGACAGGTTTGGCCGAAAGCGCGGCTCACCAGCAACATCCCAAAGCTGCAGCTTGACCTTCGTTCCTTCCTCGGTCTTCAAGCGTTTCATCTTGAAGTCTACGCCGAATGTCGCCCTGTAGGCATCGCCGATGTCTTCCCGGCATACGGCCTGTAACCACGAAGTTTTTCCAGCAGTTGCGGCCCCCAACAGAACACACTTCACCATGCAGTGGGCCTCCAATACCTCATTTTCCTCCCACGAAGTGTAGTTGCGAGTGGCTCTTTTGATCAGGCAAAGAAAATCATCCTCGGCAAGCTCCAGGTCTGAAATCTTCTCACTCGGGAGAACCTTTCTGGTACCATGTAGCAGCGACAGTTTGCCAGGTCCTGCACGGATGGACTCCAGCACGGACTTCACGGTTCTGCTTCCCTGCACCCGCTCCTCGAAAACCACCTCGCCAGCAGGGGTCAAAATCCTCAGCTCCAAAGCAACCAAGTGTGAAAAAGTGTATATACATATAGAAATATATGTATGTATGTATGTATGTATGTATGTATGTATGTATGTATGTATGTTCTTTTCTTCAGAAAACGAAAAATTATGAAACAAATCACTATCTTGTTGGTCGGTTACATTAAAGCAGAACACAAGAATGGACGAATCATAAAAGGCATACCACTGAATAACCTCGCAACCGCACTGGGAAGACTTCGAGATCTCGCGGATCTTCTTGCGCATCTTCAACCGTGAAAATGTCGGTCAAAGCAGTGCTGAGCCCCGAGCCCATGATACTGTAATTATTATTAATAGTACAGTAATGCTATTTATTTCGAAAAGTTTTCATATTGTAATAATACCGGTTATTTAACGTCATTTTTTGTTAATCCTATAGTAAAAAGGCATATATATATATATATAATATCTTTACTAGTTGAATATTGATGCTATGGTTTGGGGAATCTACGCTCTCACGACTCGGACATGCCAGGCGAGGTCTATCAGGTGCAAGTTTAGGGTTCGGGGCCAGTTTAGGGGTCTGCTATGCCCAGGCACAGCCAGGGACGCGGTGACGCAAAACCACGTAATAAAAGAAAAGAAGATAATTGATCCAACTATCCAACTAGGCATTCAGAGAGACATACATACGTACATACATACATACGTACTTACATACCTATCTACAGACATACATGCACATGTGAATGAACACTTGGGATACCTTCATGCGGGAATTGCAACCGGTTGCTGCGGATGTGACACCCAAACTTAAAACACTAGACGGACTTTACCCACTACAAAACAAAAGCTGAGTGACTGAGTTGAAAGAAACGAGATGACTCGGAAAACACGTTCCGGCAGAATCCGCAGACTTCTCAGCTCCTCAGCCAAGACACGACCTACGGACATGTACAGCGCGCGACAACAAGACAGTACATTGGGAACCTTGAGTTGTAGGGTTTAGGGTTAGGGTTTATATAAGGCTTAGAGTTCCAATAGATCTCTGTGTTGATAAAGGCTCACAGAAAGAACCGGCACTCACACACACACACACACACATGATCCGCTTGAGCTGATTGTTCAACTATACCTGCTACTCTTGAAGCACACATTACTTCAAAGGAATTGGCCGACCAAGAATTTGCTGGCAGCAAACTAAATATCTCAACCGATGCCTCGAAATGAACCAGAAAAGTTATCATCATGAACTCCGACACATCAAACATTCTTCACCAAACCCGGCACAAAGTTCTTAGCAGCAACTATATGCACCATGCATGAACTGGCGGGCCAACATCAGTAACATCACCAACAGCCATCATCTCCCAACGAGCAACATTACGCTGGCTAATCCAGTAGCTTCGTATTTTGTTGAAGTTTCGGCCACTCTAGATCTCGTTTCTTGGGTAGGCGCTGAGCGTTGAGTGTGAGTGGAGTGAGTGCGGCGCGCGTGTGCCTGCATGAGTGTGACTGACTGAGAGACGATCGAGTGGAGTGGACTGAGGGTTTAGGGTTTAGGGTGTGGCGGGGGTGGACTGAAGTGACTGAGGCGCGCTGGGATGGACTGGACTGGACTGTGCTGGACTAGACGGGAAACACGTGATTCCATCAGCCTGCCTGCCTATTGGACCGTCTGCTTGGCTAAAAACAATAAATACGATTAATCGTGAACACCATCAACATCATACCAATAATGCCAATAATACCCAAACTTATACTAATGCTAAGGGTGGTAATGATAAAACTACAGCTATTCTCGAAAATATGAACAATAATGATAATTATCATAATAATAAGAACATAGTCATCATAACAATAAGAACGACTACGTAGGGACCATAAAGGGTGAGGGTGAGGGTGATACTCGCACCACTTATACACAGCCCATGGTGGACTTGGCAACTCAGGTGGCAGTTTCAGGAAAATACATGTCAATACTACAGTTCAAACCACCCCACAAAAAGTGCCTCAACACAGCGCAGATTGGGTAGTGGGTTTCCAAGTCGTCCGCTGTGCTCCAAGTTCTATGGTCAAAGCACTATGCTTCGATGTTCGTATCCCTCAAGCCACCCCAAAACTCTGCGGAGGTCTGCTGGCAGTGTGGGTCTAGACTGTACTGTACGCGCCAGGAGTTTTGAGACATTTCGAACTTCGGCGTGAGGATAAACTACTTATCCTTATCCTTGTTATCAATATTAGTAGTATTATAATGTCCGTATTGTTACAAATTCTATCAAATTCTGAAACGCTCAGGAACTCATTCGATAGCTCCTGTTCTGCACGAATAGCTTCTCTTAGGTTCGTTTACGACGGCCCTTTTGGTTCTTACCGACGAAGCACTTCGTCCAAAAGCATGTCCAGCCAACCGAAAAGAGGGTCATCAATGTTGACTCCAGATTTGCTCGAGGTTGCAAAGAAGGGCCAGCCCTTCTGTTGCGCAAGCTGCTCGGCCTCCTCTTGTGTCACTTCAGGATCCTTACTGCCCCAATAAGCCCGGGACATAAAAGGTTAAACTTGCAGATTATTACCAAAGTTGTAAGAACCCCAGAAGTCAAAAGGTTGGGTATTGGACTAAGGATCCGGAATGTCTACATGGGTCCCGACCAAACACACGCATCGGCAGGAAAGAGGATGCCTCCCCTCTGCTTCCTCCAACATTCGAAGGACTTCAGTCAGGGACTCACGACTGTGCAGCGAGAAGAACGCCATGATTCCCGAGGCCCCTCTGTAGTAGGCATTTGTGATTGTCCGAAAGCGTTGCTGCCCAGCAGTGTCCCAAAGCTGTATTTTCATCCGCTGCCCATCCTCAGATTGAAGGCGCAAGAGCTTGAACTCTACGCCGATGGTCGGCTGATACTCAGAAGTAAAACTATGCCGGCCGAAGGCCAGCATCCATGTAGACTTGCCGGTTTTTGCTGCTCCAACCAGAAGA